GCCCCTCCCAGAGACTCTCGGAACAATTACCAGATCCGCAACCCCGGGCCCCAGCTCGGCCGCCAGAGGCCCCCGGGGTCCCCAGACGACTCCTGCTGACTTGGGGGAGAAGTAGGGGGGGGCTATGCGGCTCCCAGTCCTCCCCAGAGACCTGAGCCGCCACCCCAGAGGTCCCTCCAAGGAATCTGGAGCCCGCCTCCACCCCCACCCCCACCCCCACCCCCAGGCAGGAGTCCTGGTTTGGGTTTGATTTGTTGTAATCGTCCATCCACCAACTGTGCTGGACACTCCCCCGGGGGTCCCGTCCACATCGGGGCTAAGTCAAAACGGGGTCCCGAAGAGAGAGTACCCGAAGTTAGCCCAGCCCCACCTCCCCCTCCCCGCCCCGTCCATTGTTGGGTCGCCCGGAGCGAGCGGGCCGAGGCGGCGTCGGCCCCTGCAGGTGTCCCGCAGGGCTCGGAAGGGCACCCGACCCGGTTCCTCACCCCTGAAATGGGGATGATGCTAAAGGCGACGCCAAGGTCACACGACCTCTATTCCAGCCCGTGGCGAGGGCGTGGAGTACCAGTCGGAGGAGGGGGCCGGAGCCGGGGAGGCCGGGCGTTCGCTTTCCACTTGGACTGGTGGCATTTGCACGCCTGGGTGTGCAGGGGCGCGGCGGCGGCGGCAGCCCCCGCGCCTGCTCGCCGCGCGCCTCACCTGCGCCCCCCGTGCGCCTCCGACCGCTACCCGCGCCGCCTCGGCTGTCCTCGGGGCGTCTCCGGAGCTTACCCGGGGTCTCGTGCTTTCGGAGCGGGTCCGCGGGGCTGGCGTCCATCGCAGCTTCGGCCGCGGCCAAACTTTCTCCGGTATCCTGGGGAGGAGCCGCGGGCGCCGCGGGCAGCGCGGCGCGCGTGAATTTCCGCGGATCCAGGATGTCCAGCACCGAGAAGGAGATCTTGTGGTGGGAGGGCGCCGCCTGGGCTCCGCCGTCCTGCCACGCCAGCATGCCGGCCGCCCACGGGCCCCGGGGGCCGGCGGCTCGGGGTCCGGGATCGCCAGGCGTCGGGGTAGCTTTTCGGCCCGACGACCTCCAGCCGGGATCTGAGTTGACTCCGCTGAGGGAAAGTGGGGAGGGGACCTGGGGGCGGGGCGGGAAGCGAGTCGCGGGGGGCCGCGCGCCCATTGGCACCTGGGTGTCTCGGGCCCTCGCCGCGGGCAGGGTGGGTGCGCAGGGTCCGCTGGCCGGAGGCGGCTCCGCGAGGCGGGGCGCGCGCCTGACCCGCGGGGACAGCGCGACGGATTGCACGAGTTTCCACCCGACCTGCAGAACTTGGCTCGGCCCAGGATCCCCCCTCCCCCGCCCCAGCCCTCCCCCTACCCCCCGGAATCCCCGGGGCACACACAGCTCCCTCTGGCTTGAGTTTGCGTCCTCGCCCTGGGACACCTGCCTTCTTCCACTTGGGGATGCCACGGAGGCCAGGACCAAGGGCATCCAAGGCGAGGCGGAGCGCATCTCGCGAACCACCGCGATCGCTTCAGAGTCGTCTAAACGCATCCGAGGGGAAAGCCTTGGCGGCCTTGCGGGTCACCGCGCACAAAGCGCTGCGGCCTCCGCCATCTCCCTCGCCGATCTGGGAGTCCCTGTGAGGAGGGGGTGAGGGTGGGAAGCCTGGCGTAGACCACCACCGCCTTTGAAAGAAGAGAATGCAGAGGTTCAAAGAGAGCAAGTCGTCTGTCTAGAGGTAGAGAGTTCGCAAGACAGTCTAGGCTGGACCAGGGCTGGATTTTTGTTTGTTTGTTGCTTGATTGGTTGGTTTTATTTCTTACCGTCTGTCTTGGTATTTCTCACCGGAGAGGAGGCTTTCTCTTTTACCCCAAAAGCTCTGCAGAGAACCAAGGGAGACCAGCGGCAGGCTCGGGGCAGGGGACACGGGCGGAGGGGAGCTGCCCAGGTGTGTTGAGACCCCAGGACCCGACCCTTGAAACGCTGCAGGCCTTGATTCTCACCAGGGTTCTGAGCTCTGTCCCCAAGAAGGAAAAGGTTAAAAGAGGCTGGCTGGTTTGCATTAAGATCAGGGAAGGGAGACTAAGATGGGCCCCATCTGAGTCTCCCAGGTCTCCTGGGGTGGTAGTTGTTGGGGAAGCTAAAGCCACCACACCAGCGCCAGTATAACTTTTTTCTTGTCACTGGCAGTCATGAAAGCAGTAGGTATTTACTTCGTGGTAGTTTCTGAGGCTTTCTCCAGTCCCCTCCACCCGGAGCCTCCACCAAGAAGACTGCTTCTCCTTTCTTCCCGGCCCCATGCTGTTTCCAAACAATGACCTAGCAATTAATATTGTCTAAGGCAGATAAGAAGTAGGAAGGGGAGGAGAAGTCTTCTCTTCAAGGGCTGGGAGCTACTAATCTCATCTGTTATTGAAGAGGCGTTCTTAGAGCCCTGCTCCCAGTAGCTTTTCTCATTCAAACCTTCGGCCCCTCCCCGAGGTAGCCACCATATTCTCTGCAGACTTGAAAGCCTTGCCGACACTCAAACCAGCTCCAGTCCCAAAGAGAAGATGGATTGTGCTTTTAAAGCTCAGGACAGGAAGTTGCCCGACCCAGACCCACCGGACCATCTCTGGCCCAAAGGAATGTTTCAAAGGAGGAAACCCAGAGAACAGACAACCCTGCAACGGAGACACAGCACCCCGAAGCCAGAATCCTCCAGAATACACGCTGAGAGTTCTTCTCTGTTTAGACAACTCTTTCTCACCTAGTTCTCACTTACTTAAAAGGAGAAGAAAAAAAAAATCTTCCTCTTTCCCCTTTAGGATTAGATGAGGGCCTCGAATGCTCCCAGCCTCCCCAAATCTTCCTTTTTCTTTCCCCTCCACTACTGACTTCAAAGGGTCTACATTTTCCTTCCCACACGCATCTCTATGTAAAGATGCCTCTATCAATCATCTATCTATATCCTAAGTACACTCAATATAGATACAAACAATAACATTGTATTATATATATATATATATACATGTATATACACCTATAGATATAGACAGACAGACAGATTAGATTCCTCGGGACAGCAGGAAACTAGATCTCCATAAGGTTGCTCCAGAATGAAAATACTATGTGTGGTTTCCTCCCATTGCTTCCAATCCTCCTCTTACTACTTTCCTGTATTTTACAGGGTGGAGGAATTAGCATGCCTGAGGTCACTTATATCCCCTCATGAGGGACAAGGAAGGCCTCTTGCATAGCAAGGACAACTGGAATCACTGTTTTACACTTGATAAATTGCCTTACAAGGTTTTGCTTACATTTTATGAGTAGGTTTTCTTTTGTATGCGTTACTTTTCCTCTGAAGTCTAGGGGTGTTAACTATAGGAAAAGAGCAATGAGAGAGAATGTCAACAACATATAGAGGCCATCCTTTTTCTTATTATTATCTTCTTTAAGTAGTGGCACAAAGGGTTTCAACTTAACATGTCAGTTTATGTGTACAAATGCATCCTGATCAATGTAACCCCTTCCCTGCCTCTCCCCCATCTCTCCCAACTCCACCCATCCCCTCAAGTTACCATTTGCACATTTAGTTCCATTTGCACATATGCACATTGAGTACTAGGACTGTTTTCACCCTCCCCTCTCAAGGTCATACTCTTTAAACCTGTAGATCTTTAAGAACTTCTTTGTAGTGAATTAAAAATTCTTGCCTTTTTTCCCCCTAGCATTTCTTTTCTTTTTTTGTCAGTCGTGGGGCTTGATCTCTGGGCCTCAGTGCTGTCCCTCAGCTCTTCAGCAAAAGGATAGCATCCTACCACTTGAGCCACAGAGCCACTTCCAGTTTTCCTGCCTGGGCTGGCTTTGAACCATGATACTCAGATCTCAGCCTCTTGAGTAGCTAGGATTACAGGCGTGAACCACCAGCACCCGGCTTCTAGCATTTCTTGTATGTGTGCTCCATGGAGCACAAGGCTGTGTGGACTCTTGCTCAGTGCTTGGCCTTCATCCATAGCTGACAGGGAAGAAACACTGCTGTGCCCATGGACAGAAGAGACCTAAGAGCATGCTCTCAATCATCAACTTAAAGCAAACAAACAAACAAAAATGACGTCTTCTCCCCCCCCCCGCCCTTGTATGTTACCAGTATTGGGGCTTGAACTCAGGGCATTGTACTCTCACTTGGCTTTTTCACTCAAATTTGTGGCTCTACCTACCACTTGAGCCACAATTCCACATCCAACTGTTCAATTAATTGGAGATAAGTCTCATAGACTTGGCTTCAAACTGTGATCCCCAGATTCAGCCTTCTGAGTAGCCAGGGTATGATCTTCAGCTTAAGAGGAAATCACATAAGAAAGCTTAAGGAAATTTGTTTTCAAGCTACTTGCTTTATGTAGACATGTGTTTATACTGGCTTGCTCCTATTTAGTGCATATGTCCACATCCAGCCAGCCATCTTCCCCTTGCATGGAGTTGATTTGATTTTTTTTTTCCAGCATGGGTATTAGCATTCCGCCTGAGTGCTGTCTTTAAATTGCTTTGATGCTAGGTGGGTTCCAACCCTGACCTGTCCTGATGGTAAGTGATGGCTGTAACAAGCCCAGGATCAATATTCATAGCGGGTGTCCTGGGCTGATAACACTACTCAAGACAATGTTCGCTATCAGCGTGGACAGCAGAGCTATTGCACCATTAGGGATGTTGTGTTAAATAACCTGATCCATTTCTGGGGCTATTTAATGAATTTCACAGTTTAGATAGTATCTGGAGGAGAAGGCAAAGGCTATCCCAGAGGCACTGATGCACATCGATGGTGCCAGGCTTCCCTGGCTAGTGCACACCGAGTAATTCCAGCATAGCTTTGGGGAGCTGCTGTCTGGGCTGTGAATGGTATTAACAATGGAGAGACTGGGCCTTTATGCAAAGGGAGGGAAGGCAATATTACAAACCACCTTAAGCACCTTAGATAAAATCTTATGTTTCTGGAATTAAACACAATTATAGCTCTCTAGGTAACACCCCTCAGTGTGTGCCTGCCCACTGCGGGGGAGGGGGTAAGACATATGCCAAAGAGACAGCTTTATAAATGTGATGCTGGTGGCTCACACCTGAAATCCTAGCTACTTAAGAGGCTAAAATCTGAGGATCACAGGTCAAACCCAACTTGGGCAGGAAAAGCCATAAGACTTCCACCTCCAATTAACCAGAAAAAAAAAAAAAAAAAGCTGGAGGGGCTGGGAAGATGGCTCAGTGGTAGAGCGCTTGCCTTGCATGCCTGAGGCCCTGGGTTCCATTCCTCAGCACCACATAAGAAAAAAGAAAAAAGCCAGAAGTGGCGCTGTGGCTCAAGTGGTAGAGCGCTAGCCTTGAGCTGAAGAGCTGAAGGACAGCGCCCAGGCACAGAGTTCAGGCTCCACGACCAGACTCCCCCCCCCCAAAAAAAGCTGGAACTGAAGATGTGGGCTCAAGTGGTAGAGCACCAGCCTTGAGCATAAAAGCTAAGGGAGCTGGGCATCAGTAGCTCATGCCTGTAATCCTAGCTATTCAAGAAGCTGAGATTTGAGGACCATGGTTTGAAACCGGCGCAGACAGTCTATGAGCCACTTATCTCCAATTAACTACTCAGAAAAAGCCAGAAGTCGTATTGTGGTTCAAGTAAGTAGATTGTTAGCCTTGAGCACAAAGAAACTCAGGGACTGTGACCAGGCCTTGAGTTCAAGGACTAGGACCAGGAAAAAAAAAAAAAATCTAAGGGAGAGCACAAGGCCCTAATTCAAGCCTGAGTACACCAGTACCCAAAAAAACTTTGAGGGATGGGGGGAGGGAAGGAGGGAGAGGAAGAGGGAAAGAGAGAGAGGGAGGGATAGAGGGAGGGAGAGAAGAGAAGAGATTTCAACTGCATGTCCTTGGTGAGGAGGGGAGGGGAGGGAATTGCCATATTACACTGGGAATCTAGAAAGTGGGAGATGTATATTTTGGAGAAAAGGAATAAGGGAGGAAAGCCAAGCTGAGACCAT